GATGTGCATCGCAGGAAATCCCTTTTGATACCTATATATTCAAAAAAATCCACGCATGAGTTTTTTGCGACGCCCGCTTTGTCTCGATGGACCGCTGTGCGGCATTCGTACGTCGGGTTACGAGTTCGCTGCTGTCTGCTGGGGCTGACGTCGACAGTTATCCTTTCGCTGGTTCACCTATGGAATCCATGTTACTAGTTCTCTTTTTCTCTAAACGATAAGATTTGGTTGACGTCTTGCGATTATGCGGGTCCTTCGACGTCTCTACGCGAGTCCTCGTTCGCAATATACGGCTGGACGATGGGTCCGTGAACGGCGGACAAGGTCGTCGTTCGGGATTTTTGGCCGCGATGTGCATCGCAGGAAATCCCGTTTTGATGCCTACATATTAAAAAAAATCCACGCTGGAGTTTTTTGCGACGCCCACTCTGTCTCGATGGACGGCTGTGCGGCATTCGTACGTCGGGTCACGAGTTCGCTGCTGTCTGCCGGGGCAGACGTCGACAGTGATCCTTTCGCAGGTTAACCTATAGAATTAATGTTACTAGTTCTCTTTTTCTCTAAACGAAAAGATTTGGTTGATGTCTCGCGATGACGCGGGTCCATCGGCGTTCCTGCGCGAATCCTCGTTCGCAATATACGGCTGGACTACAGGTCCGTGAATGGCGGACAAGGTCGTCATTCGCGATTTTTGGCCGCAACGTGCATTGCAGGAAGTCGCTTTTTGATGTCTACATATTCACCAAAATCCGTGCAGGAGTTTTTTTGGACGCCTACTCTATCTCGATGGACGGCTTTGCGGCATTCACACGTCGGGTCACGAGTTCACTGCTTTCTGTCGGGACAGACGTTGACAGTGATCCTTTCGCAGGTTCAACTATGAAATCCATGTTACTAGTTCAATTTTTTTCTAAACGATAAGATTTGGTTGACGTCTCGTGATGACGCGGGTTCGTCGGCGTCCCTGCGCGAATCCTAGTTCACAATATACGGCTGGACTACGAGTCCGTGAACGGCGGACAAGGTCGTCATTCGCGATTTTTGGCCGCAACGTGCATCGCAGGAAATCCCTTTTCGATGTCTAGATATTCACGAAAATCCGTGCAGGAGTTTTTTGGGACGCCTACTCTGTCTCGATGGACGGCTTTGCGGCATTCACACGTCGGGTCACGAGTTCACTGCTTTCTGTCGGGGCAGACGTTGACAGTGATCCTTTCGCAGGTTCAACTATGAAATCCATGTTACTTGTTCAATTTTTTTCTAAACGATAAGATTTGGTTGACGTCTCGCGATGACGCGGGTTCGTCGGCGTCCCTGCGCGAATCCTAGTTCACAATATACGGCTGGACTACGAGTCCGTGAACGGCGGACAAGGTCGTCATTCGCGATTTTTTGCCGCAACGTGCATCGCAGGAAATTTTCGATGTCTAGATATTCACGAAAATCCGTGCAGGAGTTTTTTGGGACGCCCACTCTGTCTCGATGGACGGCTTTGCGGCATTCACATGTCGGGTCACGAGTTCACTGCTTTCTATCGGGGCAGACGTTGACAGTGATCCTTTCATAGGTTCACCTATGGAATCCATGTTACTAGTTCTCTTTTTCTCTAAACGATAAGATTTGGTTGACGTCTTGCGATGACACGGGTCCATCGGCATCCCTGCGCGAATCCTCGTTTGCAATATACGGCTGGACTACGAGTCCGTGAACGGCGGACAAGGTCGTCATTCGCGATTTTTGGCCGCAACGTGCATCGCAGGAAATCCCTTTTCGATGTCTAGATATTCACGAAAATCCGTGCAGGAGTTTTTTGGGACGCCTACTCTGTCTCGATGGACGGCTTTGCGGCATTCACACGTCGGGTCACGCGTTCACTGCTCTCTGTCGGGGCAGACGTTGACAGTGATCCTTTCGCAGGTTCAACTATGAAATCCATGTTACTAGTTCAATTTTTTTCTAAACGATAAGATTTGGTTGACGTCTCGCGATAACGCGGTTTCGTCGGCGTCCCTGCGAGAATCCTCGTTCGCAATATACGGCTGGACTACGGGTCCGTGAACGGCGGACAAGGTCGTCATTCGCGATTTTTGGCCGCGACGTGCATCGCAGGAAATCCCTTTTCGATGTCTAGATATTCACGAAAATCCGTGCAGGAGTTTTTTGAGACGCCTACTCTGTCTCGATGGACGGCTTTGCGGCATTCACACGTCGGGTCACGAGTTCACTGCTTTCTGTCGGGGCAGACGTTGACAGTGATCCTTTCGCAGGTTCAACTATTAAATCCATGTTACTAGTTCAATTTTTTTCTAAACGATAAGATTTGGTTGACGTCTCGCGATGACGCGGGTTCGTCGGCGTCCCTGCGCGAATCCTAGTTCACAATATACGGCTGGACTACGAGTCCGTGAACGGCGGACAAGGTCGTCATTCGCGATTTTTGGCCGCAACGTGCATCGCAGGAAATCCCTTTTTGATGTCTAGATATTCACGAAAATCCGTGCAGGAGTTTTTTGGGACGCCCACTCTGTCTCGATGGACGGCTTTGCGGCATTCACATGTCGGGTCACGAGTTCACTGCTTTCTATCGGGGCAGACGTTGACAGTGATCCTTTCATAGGTTCACCTATGGAATCCATGTTACTAGTTCTCTTTTTCTCTAAACGATAAAATTTGGTTGACGTCTTGCGATGACACGGGTCCATCGGCATCCCTGCGCGAATCCTCGTTTGCAATATACGGCTGGACTACGAGTCCGTGAACGGCGGACAAGGTCGTCATTCGCGATTTTTGGCCGCAACGTGCATCGCAGGAAATCCCTTTTCGATGTCTAGATATTCACGAAAATCCGTGCAGGAGTTTTTTGGGACGCCTACTCTGTCTCGATGGACGGCTTTGCGGCATTCACACGTCGGGTCACGCGTTCACTGCTTTCTGTCGGGGCAGACGTTGACAGTGATCCTTTCGCAGGTTCAACTATGAAATCCATGTTACTAGTTCAATTTTTTTCTAAACGATAAGATTTGGTTGACGTCTCGCGATAACGCGGTTTCGTCGGCGTCCCTGCGAGAATCCTCGTTCGCAATATACAGCTGGACTACGGGTCCGTGAACGGCGGACAAGGTTGTCATTCGGGATTTTTGGCCGCGACGTGCATCGCAGGAAATCCCTTTTGATACCTACATTTTCAAAAAAATCCGCGCAGGAGTTTTTTGCGACACCCGCTCTATCTCGATGGACGGCTGTGCGGCATTCGTACGTCGGGTCACGAGTTCGCTGCTATCTGCCGGGGCAGACGTCGACAGTGATCTTTTCGCAGGTTCAACTATGGAATCCATGTTACTAGTTCTATTTTTTTCTAAACGATAAGATTTGGTTAACGTCTCGCGATAACGCGGGTTCGTCGGCGTCCCTGCGCGAATCCTCGTTCGCAATATACGGCTGGACTACGGGTCCGTGAACGGCGGACAAGGTCATCATTCGGGATTTTTGGCCGCGACGTGCATCGCAGGAAATCCCTTTTGATACCTATATTTTCAAAAAAATCCGCGCAGGAGTTTTTTGCGACACCCGCTCTGTCTCAATGGACGGCTGAGCGGCATTCGTACGTCGGGTCACGAGTTCGCTGCTATCTGCCGGGGCAGACGTCGACAGTGATCCTTTCGCAGGTTCAACTATGGAATCCATGTTACTAGTTCTATTTTTTTCTAAACGATAAGATTTGGTTAACGTCTCGCGATAACGCGGGTTCGTCGGCGTCCCTACGCGAATCCTCGTTCGCAATATACGGCTGGACTACGGGTCCGGAACGGCGGACAAGGTCGTCATTCGGGATTTTTGGCCGCGACGTGCATCGCAGGAAATCCCTTTTGATACCTACATTTTCAAAAAAATCCGCGCAGGAGTTTTTTGCGACACCCGCTCTGTCTCGATGGACGGCTGAGCGGCATTCGTACGTCGGGTCATGAGTTCGCTGCTATCTGTCGGGGCAGACGTCGACAGTGATCCTTTCGCAGGTTCAACTATGGAATCCATGTTACTAGTTCTATTTTTTTCTAAACGATAAGATTTGGTTAACGTCTCGCAATAACGCGGGTTCGTCGGCGTCCCTGCGCGAATCCTCGTTCGCAATATACGGCTGGACTACGGGTCCGTGAACGGCGGACAAGGTCGTCATTCGGGATTTTTGGCCGCGACGTGCATCGCAGGAAATCCCTTTTGATACCTACATTTTCAAAAAAAGCCGCGCAAGAGTTTTTTGCGACACCCGCTCTATCTCGATGGACGGCTGAGCGGCATTCGTACGTCGGGTCATGAGTTCGCTGCTATCTGCCGGGGCACACGTCGACAGTGATCTTTTCCCAGGTTCAACTATGGAATCCATGTTACTAGTTCTATTTTTTTCTAAACGATAAGATTTTGTTGACGTCTCACGATAACGCGGGTTCGTCGGCGTCCCTGCGCGAATCCTCGTTCGCAATATACGGCTGGACTACGGGTCCGTGAACGGCGGACAAGGTCGTCATTCGCGATTTTTGGCCGCAACGTGCATCGCAGGAAATCCCTTTTTGATGTCTACATATTCACGAAAACCCATGCAGGAGTTTTTTGGGACGACTACTCTGTCTCGATGGACGGCTTTGCGGCATTCACACGTCGGGTCACGAGTTCACTGCTTTCTGTCGGGGCAGACGTTGACAGTGATCCTTTCGCAGGTTGAACTATGGAAAATTATCAAATAACTCATTTATAATTTCGAAATTTAGTGTAAATCCTCTATATACTTTAAAAATAGTATGAACCCTTTATACTTTTAAAAAATGTTCTATTAAACTCATGTTTATATTTTTCTTGTGACGAGAAGATGACTTTTCATTTATATATATATATTTTTTTATATATAACAAGATTTTTATATAGCGTTTGTTAAAATATAAGAGAGTCTTACGCAATTTTTAAAATATATGTTAAAAAAAAAAAATTAATTTATATTTTATTACAAATAAAAAAAATAATATATATATATTTAAGAACCCCTAACTTTTATTTCGTTCCCGACATTTCGGAAGTGAGGAAGAGTCCTGTATACGAGGTATCTGAAATTGAAGTTATACGGCACCACTTGTATGACAGCAGACAAAGGCTCCCGTCCCTTCCTGTCGAGGCACTTAACGGCGTCGTCCCTCACGTCGTCCGGCAGCTGCAGACAAATCCAGTCCAGCAATGAATCCATGTCCTTAGCAAAGTCAAGTACATACCAATCCAGCAGCTTCGGAATCATCAGCTTGTTCGTCGTCCCCGAAATCCCGACTGCTGCTTGCAGATACTCCCTTTTCGCCGTCTCCAGCTCCGCCTCGATCTCAGACGCAGTGTACACCCTCACCTGCATTCACATGACACGATCGATAGAAGTGATTGATAGAAGCGATCAGTGGGCTGAGATCCAAGTCTCCGGCCAGTCGGAGAGACCAAATTCGATCAACTTACAGCAGGGGAGGACCAGCTTCCGCAGGAAAGCGCAAACGTGACCAATGGTTCCGACCACTCCAAACCGAGCGTCCTGCAAATCTTGCTTTCGTCGTTGTTCTTCGCTGATTTCGAGCAAGTCTGCAAAAAAACCATCACAAAAAAAAAAAATCAGCATCGTCTGATTTCTCAGCAACAACGAGCAAGTGTTTCGACCGGCTCACATATTTTAAGTGGTATGGAAGCCGCAAGATAAGATGCTCGATCATCAACGCATTCACCACATGTCCTCCAACCTTTATTGTTGCCTACATGTAGCATTGAAACTAGCTTTTTAGAAAAACATCGAGTGATATGCGAAAACTGAAAACAGATAGAACAAAGAACTAGCATTGCCTTCTGCATATGCGCCACGATCATATCAGGGCCGTTTTCCAAAACCGCCTGAAACATCGACAAAATTTCGCAATTTACAGACTGAACACCGCAAACAGAAAATCTACGTCGCAAAATCCACTTGATGAGCTTACATTCATAATGCAGGAGTTGTAGATGTTAATCCAGAAAGCCAGCTTCTGCTGATGGCTTAGACCGTCGAATTTCACCGAGGCCAGCTTGTTCAATAGAAGCCTACAGAATCCAAACGATATATAAATCGAAAGAAAAGAAACGACTTTGGGTGCAGGAAACCGAGAATCTTACTTCAGCCGGCGGATTAGAAAGGTTGCATTTGTTTTCCGGCTGATATCTAATGAATGAGCTTCGATCGAATGAAGATGTTTGTAGGTTCCGATATCTCTCTTCCTGAGCTCGGATGATTGGGAATAAGGATCTCTGAAGTCATTTTGATCGAATCCCTTGGCTGCTAAAGAGGAGAAAGATTCTGAATCCAATGTCTTTCGTTTCGATGAGCTCAATCTTACGATGATTTTGATCAGACACTTGATGATATCCTCGGACAGTCTATTTGCTTCACTATCCACATCGGGAAGTCGACTGTCTGAAGAACTGGACGAGCTCTCCTGCGCTTGCTCGACGTTCCTACACTGTATCGAAGCAATCACCGTTCAGCATTAAGTCGGGATTAATTCTAGAATTTTATGACAAGGTAAGAACCTGAATCTTGGGGGAATTCACATTCTTGATCACTGAATCGGGCTTCGACAAGCATCCCTTCACGGACTTCCTTTCGCCGTAGGATTTGTAATATTTGTTTGAATGGGGATTGGTTTCATTGTTCGATTCATTCTGAGGGTGTTTATCGATGGACAAGCTCTCGGGACAATGCCTCGAGGAGTCGGATAGGCTGTCCAATGAGAACAATTTCCTGCTCGAAAGGGAACACGAAGCTCGTGTCCTAAATGATCCCAAACTATTATCGCCATGCGACGAAGATCTCGAATGCTTACTTTGGGAGCTCCGGGATGAGGATAACTCATCGGCTGTGGAATCTTCAGGGCTTTTTCTTGAGAATATATACACAGCTTCTTGATATATTCCCTGTCGAAAATTCACCACCTGTTCTTCGAGGCGAACGACTTCCTCCTCCAGAACGGCGACCTCGGCGAGAAGCTCGAGTGTCTACATTCCGAAAAATCCAAAAGATTCACTGATCAAATCAACAATGCACATACATATACTTCTGTGAAAATTCATTAGATGGGGAATTTCATCAAACACATTGCAGGCAATCCCAACCAAATTTGCTCAATGGAATTCCAAATTGTGTAGAAATCCTGATATGAAAAGACTGGATTAGGATGATGATGAAGCTTACAGATTGAGGGAGATAAGGAGGAAGACGTGGCAGAGCTCCTAATGGTCGATTGAAAGCTCTCTGCAAAGCTCTGTGAACATTCTCTTCATACCTCAGCTTCTTCTTCAGATTATCGACCTGCAATTGGAAGGGACAACCGAACAAATCACAGATCAAGACAGCAAGAATTAATGGACGTCTTGCAATGAGATGGATTACAGTACATCTTCTAATAACGCCATTTTTATTTCTTTTGCTGACCGGCGTCTCGATGCCATGGTTTTCTCTGCAGATTGCGACTTTCTGCCGCCCTGCAATTCCATCTTCTTCCCCTATCAGAGAATTTGAGAAAGATATTCATTTCTTGAACGGATAGGATAGGAAGAATTGAATGCAGATTTGGTTCTGAAGAATCAAATCGGCGTTATCTTTTTTCCCAACATAGATTGGAGTTCCAATTCCTAATCTATGATATGGCTATAAAAGGATAAGAGAATATTCCAATTTGGGCATCCTTTATTTGCAATAAGACATTTTCAGAAACGATAAATTTAAGTCAGCTGCAGTCAATCGTCGAACAGCTTCGTCTGAAATGCAAACGAATTGAAGCAGAAAAGAATCTGAATTGAATTGAGGGCAGCAACTCACATTTTGAGTATGCAAAGGTGCTTTCTTGGAATTGATATTGTAATTTCCAGCAATTTTATTCATCTGGTCTTGCCTACAGTGTGAACACCATGAACATGACCTTCACTCTGCACCAAATACATATATTCATTCGATCAGCACCAAAATTACTCTAAAAAATCTGTAGAAGATAATTAAGGAACTGAACTGACCCTTCTTCATCAAGCAAGAAAAGAAACTTTGCTTTAGCAGAGAGTGAATTAAAGAAGTGAATTTTTTGGAGACAGGAGAGAGCACACGCAGAGCAAGGTATCTTCTCGTAGTTTGTGAATGAAGAATTCGATTTCTTAAAAAAGGGATTCCAAGTAAACAACAAAAGACCTAAACAGACAACAGAGGTGATTTATTGATTGATTGACTGAAGAGGAGGAAGAAGAAGAAGAAGAAGAAGAAAAGGACGAGGTTTTGTAGGGATTCAATATCTGTCGTCAGTACAAAGCAACCGCAGAATCAGCCGATATCGAGCTCAAAAAAACATGGCCATATAAAATTCACCCATTAAACAATCCAGTACAGACAAGAAACCAGTCGATCACAAAAAACTTGATTGAGAATTGGAAATGGTGGAGAGATAATGGAGATGGAGATGAACTACTTGCAGCTAATGATCTCTCTGAAAATTTGCTATTTCTGCTTGCCTTTAATTATGTTTGTTCAGATTCACGTCATCATTGAACGTGCGAGCAGTTTCATCATCTCCCTCTTGCTTCGCAATTTCTTGTTCTTGAAAAACCTGACGCTCTTTTCTTTTATTCTTCGTCTTTTCCTGGTGAAATGTCGAAAATGCCCCCGAGAAAACAGTGTTATTGAGTTTCGCTGATTAGAAAAGGAGGGGCGACATTGTCAGGCTTTCAAAGAGGGAAACTTTTGAATCTGAATCTGTTGCAGGTTAATTCATTAACAATTAGACGAGTGAAAAAGGATTGCTTAAACTATACTCAGAGACATTCCCAAGGCGTTCAAAATATGAATAAACTAAGATCAATTGCCAGTGATTAGTTGAGTGCAATCAAGCCCTGTATTACCCACCACGTGAGGATATATATAATCTATATATACAGTGGTGTTCTCGGGAGTTCGAGGTCCATGGAGTGGCTAAGAAGCTAATAAATTGCTAAACTTTTCCATATTATTAAATTTATTTTATTACAAAAAAAAATAGCATAGAATCTTATTTTAAGCAAAAATGACGTAAATAAAGAAAGCGCATCGGGAGTTGAACCACGACTTACGGCAAAAGTGTACAGAAATCACTAAAAGCGCCATTTGCATACTATTGTCGCATTTTGTTCGTTATGATATCCTTGTTCTTCAAATTATTTTCAGAAATTTACAGAAGATAATTTCGATATATTTTTTTTATTAGAAATAAATTGTTTTTCCAAAATTTAAAATAATACTCCATATATAGAAGCTTCACTGTCTAAACCAACACAGTAGGTCAATGCCCTTTCCCAAAATCCTCCTAAAACCCTACATTATGCTGCTGCTACTGCTGCTGCTTTAACGAGTGGTACCCCACCCATTGCTGGTGGTACCTTGTCTGGTGTCGTCCCCTTCATTTGCTGTCACTTGATGTGGTCCATGTAGGTCCTGGACCACAACCCCCAAAATCCAACGACACCCATGCCATGCCGGAAAGGCTTCTTCCAGTGGGAGATCCCGGGTCCTGGAGCTCCTTAATAGTGGACACTGTGCGTGTATCCATGTGGTGCTGGCGGTCCAGGGATCGGGCCAGCCCATAAAGTGCAGAGTGGAGAGACAACCAGAAAGGCAAAAAAGAAAACAAAGCACAAGTAGAAAATATGACATTTACTTTATAAAATTAAATAAATAATTGAGTTGTGGGCATAGACGAGGACGATATGACATGTCAATTTGCAAGCTCATCTGGTGGATTAATGAAAATTTTCAATATAAGAAAATTAAAAGGATGACCCTAGCAATTCGTGGTCCCAAGAAAATCACACTTTTAAATGATTACACACACATAGATACATAAATTCATAAATACATACTAACTCACTGTTTTGGTCTTTCACAAATCAATGCTTATCTTGAAATTTTGGACAAATTTATGTAGATATGATTTTGTGGTTTTGAAGTTGTACTGTATTATATGGAGTTCTTTCTACGTAATTGTATATAGTACAGTTGAAAAGAGAGGTCTGTAGCTGTACAAAAATCATAATTTTTTTAATATTATATATATAATTATTATTATTATTATTATTATTATTATGCTGTCAGTTGATATCTAATGTGATGTTAATATGTATGTTGTATACTGCGAGCACTGTGGTGACTGATCTGAACAACAGTCTAATTATTTCTAAGTATAGAAAGAATGTTGATTATTGATAGGACATAAAATTGAAAAGTAACCCCAGTTTTCACCTGTGCAGGAACTATAGGGTTGGTTGGTAATATGTATAATCTGTCATTTATTATTGTTACTGTTTGTTTGGGCCACGGCACAAATATACGATCTCATAGTTACAAGTATACCTAATAATAACTCCATCGGTTACGTGAAAAATGGATTATATATGCATTTAATGCACATGTTGGGGGGAATTTAAAATCAGATTACAAGTTATGACAAGGCATTGGCTTCAGGCCCATGGATATAAATCACCAGCCCAACATCCGATTTGAATTTGGGATATATATATATATATATGATGTATTGTAATAAAAAGTATTAAGTTTTTTCTACAAACAAAAACATATTGTTTATAAATAAAATAAATATTTTTTAAAAAAATATATATTAAAAAGATTCCGATCGAGCTAGGCAGAGACAGAATGCAATGATCGAATCTGTAAATGAAGAGACCAAATCATTATGCATTTTGTTATTAATTACGTGCACTTTCTTTTCCCATTCAACTTGCATGATCATATATATATATATATATATATATAATATGCTTATAATTTTTTTATTTATTTATGTATCTTTATTGTTTGGAAATTAATTAACAGCCACGAGAGACTTAATTGTCTGTTGGCACATTAATTGTTTAATTTTTCTTTTCCAACCTCATGCCAAATTATTAATCTATTTTTAATTCTCTAATGGTATAATAATATTACTATTATAATTTGGTTTTATTAATTAATGCAACGCACAATTTATTTTTACTCGACAGGCAATTAAAATGGTGAAGAACCTGGGTTGAAATGTCGTCCAGGTGCATTAACGATCAAAACATGTTTAGCAGTGGGTTAAATTAATTCATTGTATAGTTATTTAATTAACTGCGAAATGTAAGCTAATTACAGTTCGAATATTGAGAGCTTCAAGTCACAGAAAAATAATCTTAATAATAAAAAAAAAAAATTAAAAATTTATTGTCTAAAGTGAACAATGATAATGATGATACTAAAAAGAGAATTGCACATGGAGATTGTCAATTGTCATCATGGGCTAAATTCCCTTTTCCAATGTGATTGGATCATCACATACTCTTTATATATGCATTTCATAAATTCGTTTGGTAAATTATATATAAATATATTTATTGTTTGTATATAATTCATTTAAAAATTATACTATTTTATATATATATATATAAGCTTGTAAATTAAAGTCTAAAATACCTTGGATTAGTAAGAGCCCTTATTTAATAAGGAACAAGTGTTGAAAATGTTATGTATATATATATATAAAATAATAAAATATTTTATTAATATTGTAAAATTTATATTTACTAAATAAATAAATATATCTTCTTGCACGTCTTAAATAGCAAAAAATATGTAAATAGCTAGATGAAGACAATATATACAGATGTGAAATTGTATTTTTGATTTAGTGTCTATATATATATATCTAACTATCACTTTTGTGTTATTATATATTTCCATGATTTATAATATAAGTTTTAATTATTTACACATTCAGTATGAATAATTTCATTGTTAGCTTGGTTTTTATCTTTGCACAATATTATTTCGATATCATAAATTGTAACCTTTTATTAAATTCGTCATGTAAAGCTAATGTATATAAGAATGGGGAAAAAAATAAATTAAATTAAACTTTGAACTATTGTCCAATAATTTAATCTGTACAGTTATTTCAATATTGACATATTGTAAGCACTATTATCAGCTGTCATGTAAATTAAGCCTCACGTCATGCAAAATTTTATTGTTATTAGTTAATTATTTTGATCATATGATCTTCTTGATCATCGGAAAGGCAAATTCAAAACCCTAAACTGCCTTTCAAACACCAAAGGGGCGTGACGGCTACGGACTACCTAATAATGAAAATCAAAACTTGCTTTAATTAATATTAATTTAGGATTAATGCAATAGGCCACTTATTGCATGCGCCTTCCCACTCAGTAGACGAACTGGCCATTCTTTTGACCTAATTAGGGTTCTATTTTACATCACTCACTCACTGCACACACAACACATTATATATATATATATATATATAATGTGTCTTTTTATAAATGGCCGAGTTGGCCTGATATAGTAATTAAAAGTTTAATTTTGTTTAAAAAATAATTATAGATTTTCATGTTATAAAAATAAATAAATAACTTATTAGTAGGTCAGATTCCTTTGCTGTTGAGGGCAAAAATATGAAATCTGAAAAAGAGTGGCTTCCATAGCTTGAGGAACACAAGACCGTACACTAATTCTTCTATTTATTTATTTATTTATGCATGTAATTAATTAGTTTATTCATTCAATAAAGTTGCTGCTGTACTGTATATATATATATATGAATACTATATAATTAAATTAGATTCCAATAACATGATATGTTTTTAATTTCTTTTGTTGTGGAATGGGGTGGGTGAGATATTACTATAGATTTGGTGTTGATCACTTTATTTTTAATTTCTTAACTATTATTATGATTATAGTTTTTTTCAGATGATTTTATTTTTTAATCACCAAAGTTAAAAGGAATAAAATCAAGGGGCGTTGGTTAAGAGAAATTAAATAAATTAGCTTTTTAACAAAATATTATTTCTTTCTGTAGTAAAATCAAAGTAGTGCTTGATATTGAATTGTATTGGCAGAGGTTTTAAATTAACTGAATTTAATTTAATACGCAAACTGAACTGTAAACATGACGTTTGAATTGAAAATTAATTTGACTTTACGACTTCAAATATTTTTCCACAAGATTCCTGGTGACGTTCTAATTTTGACATATGTTTTTCTTGTTACAGCTCACTTGTTCGAATTAGATATAAAAAATTAATTCCATCATTTGGGTTGTGATGAAGATGACTTATGTCCTGGCAAAAAAATAAAAAATAAAAAATCTTCAGTCCATACGATGACATTGAATTATCAAACGTTGGATTGATGAAGTTAATTGAATTGGAAAGCAAGTTATGGGCAACATTGAAGATTTAAATCATTTCAAGATATTAATGTTGTCATTTTTGAGCAATATTTCAACTGCAGATAAAACAAGTTATACATTGAGTTGTGTTGTTGTTTGAAATTTATTTGAAATGGAGTATAAATTTGAGGTTTTTATTTAAATAATATTTTAATACGATATTTTATAAGATAAAATAATATATTTTTATTAAAAATTGAATTGGGTAAATAACATTGATTTAATTTAAAATGGTAAAATAACAAACCCAATGTAACAATTCAACTTGTAGTGTGTGTGCGTGGAAATAATCAATCCTAACAAAATAATCTTTTGCATTGTAAGAAACAAAGGTGAATGGGAATTTGAGATTAATGTAATTATCCATGGAATACAATATTGCATGCAATTAGTTACATGCATAATAGTTATAAGGTGCATGGAACAATTAACACAACGATAATTTACAAAATGCAAACATACATAAAAATTCAACGAGCAACTAAAAATCAAATCAAATCGATATACATGCCATCCTTGGCAAATGATCTCGCACAACCAGCTTGTCTAGTTATGTATGGAATGGCCAATGCCGGGACTGTGACCCGGTGTGGTAG